CCTTCTTTAATATGAGCTACTACTCGTCAGTCTGGTAGCAGAGGAAAGGATTTATCTTTTTTTTTTTTTTTCCCTCTTTCCCTCCCCCGCCAAATATTTTGCTGCCTTGGGCGGGTTGGGGCCTTTTGTTTCAGTGGGATACAGCCGTCTTGGCAGTAAAAGCAGCGCTTCATGCCTTTCGAACTCCTTAAAAAGCAAAAGCAAAAAAAAGGCCCTGCATCCATGTGTGTCTTGGATTATAGAACCATATTACGATAACATATATGTGCATTTTAATCACTAGGTTATATAGGTACAGTGCCGTTGAGTCTTCAAAGAAGTGGTGTGAGGGGTTTCCTTTAATTGTTAAATAATATGCATTTTGTAGTAGCTGATGTGTTTGGATATACCTTTTGGTGGTATATCCAAGAGGTGACCTTTTTGTTAAAGTGAGTATTTAAAACACCTTCCATCAATTAGGGAAATAGGAGTATTTCTGATGCATTTGGAAAAGATGTGGACTCACAAAGCGGTTAAACACTTCCTATTCCTTTTTCCCGTGACAAAAAGGATGCAGTTGAAAGTCAGATGCTCGTTCTTTGGGCCTTGCCACAGAATAGGCAGTTATTTAAGGCGTTGAGGAAGGGGGTAGCTGGGCAAAGGAAAAACTGGAGGTGGTTTTGGCTGTGCGGGAATGTCTGGTGGCAAGTTAGCCAAGCTCTTGGCTAGTGCGGATCCGCCACACTGCTGGGCACCTGCCTCTTCCACATTCCCCTAGTGTGGAATCGTGACCGTCCCTCTAATCCTCCGCACGCGCTGGGGAGCGTGTGGATTCATGGCTGCATTAAGGCAGGATGTGGGACGTGGAAGGGAAGGTCTCCCGAGCGCTGGGCTAAACTAGCAGTTGAGCTGGGTTAATCTGGGGCCTTGCTGTCCCCGCGCAGCATTCGCACTGCTGCGCTTTGCAGGTGCATTGGGGACAACCGTCTCTGTCCTTTGCCTTTTTCCCCTGCTTTTGTGCTTCTTTTATTAGGTCTGGTCTTACCTGGCATTCCAGGGTGCTGGGATAACCTGCAATGCCAAAAGACAGGCGTTATAAATACATATTTATATTTTATATTTATAAATATATTATATATTATATATTATATATTATATATTATATATTATATATTATATATTATATATTATATATTATATATTATATATTATATATTTCTTCCTTGTTTGTTTGCTTAACAGTCTTATATACAGAGAGTAGCAGTGGAAGCTGAGAAGTGAAAATGCTTCATGCAAAGGCCATACAGAAATACAGAACAGCCTAATCCCTTATTAAGGAGTAGTGACCAAATTCTGGGGCCTCCAGCTAAGGAAATAACCAGGATCCTATTGCATAACCTGTTTATTGATCCAGATGCTCTTGCACATGTTTTCTTAAATGCAATAAAATGGTTAGCAAAGGTGTTTCATCTCATCTTAAATTGACAATTTAAATGTCCTTTTTTAAGGACAGGAAGAAACTTTGGGCATATCTTTTTAAAGTTTGTTTTCTTTTGATATCCAGGCCAGTTAGCGGAGGAATAATTGCGTAGTAACTGACCACGGTTGATCTTACCTTAACAGAGAGTGAATGCAGTAACTCACAAATGCAAGGAAGTGGATTTGCCGTTGTTTCCCATCAGACCGTTGACCATCTCCTTGGAGGCATCTCCTTGAAGTTTGGAAGTAACAGATCTGGTTTGAGCACAAGCGCTTGGGTTGCGGCAGCGCGAGGCCGCCTCGCTGCGGAGCATTGTAAATAAGGCTTATAAATAGAGCTGTGCGCGGCGCCCGGAGGCCCTGGGGCAGGCGCTTCCCTCCGTCGCTAATGGGATCAGCAGCAGGCTCTGCGCGCGGAGCCGCTCCGTCCTCGCTGGGGTGGCTGGAGATTGGCTGGAGATGCCGATCCCAGGGATCTTCTGCCGGCCGCCTCCGCGCGGTGCCGCCTGTATGGGCGCGTCGAGGACGAGGTCTGGTGCCACTGTCAGTCTGGTCCCAGCTCCACATCACCTCGGCTTTGGTAAATCCTGTCCTGCACTTGATCCACTTGCACCCTAAGGGTGAAGCGTGGATGTTTCCCGAGGAGGCAGCTTTCATCCCTGCTAGGTAGCAGAAGTGCTAGTTCCGTCAGCACGCGGAATGAATTGGCAGTTTTGGGCCCTCTGTTTGTAGATAGGGCTGCTAGAAGCTGCCTTGTGAATTACTGTAAAGCAAGAAAAAGCACCCACCTAGTTCAGTGCTTTAGGGTTTTTTGTATTGCAAGACAGAATTATATTTCAGCTTTTATAAAAACAGAATTGTCTGTGTAGGACCTCTGTGGGGCTGGAAGGAACAGCAAAATCCTTGCACTCATGGTTTCTGGATGCTACTTGTACAAAGGGGAGAATCTACCAACTTCCAGCTCACACAGTAGAATACCACTCAAGAAGTCTGCTTGTAATATCCTGGTGCTTAATTATTTTCCTTTTACATTTTTTAAATTTGCCAGAATTTGACGTGACTCAAAGGAGAGATCAAAGTGAAATTTCCACTTTACCTTGACTGTGAAAATCGCAAGTTCCCTTGACTTGAAAAACATGGCTCTTTGCGGCCTGTGCTGAACAGTGCTGTCCTGCAAAGTTTGCTCATGGTGCCAAAACACTGCTTTTAGGTTAGGCAAATATTAGTTCCTGACATAATTGAGCTGATAAACTGCAGAGCAAGCGTTTCCACCTCTGTTTAGCTGATAAACTTTATTGAAAGATGGACTATTAGAGAAAGAGTAATTTTCTGTGAATATATCGAGAGCTGCCCTCTTTGCTTTGGCAACCAGTGCAGATCTATTGTTAAATTAAGCTGACTGCCTCAATATGGAGCAGCAGCAGATGTGAAAGATACGGAAACTATTTCAGGAGAGAATCAGTATGCTGTGAAAAGTGCACATCTAGTGGCTGCAGAGAGACAGGGAATCCTGGGCAAATGTTGGGAGTTTTATTCCGTGCTTTTCCAAGGATTTCCACACTTTGCCCACCTGTAAAATCCTGACCAGTAGTTAAGAAACTTGTAATGAAGTTGACTGTCAGTTAAAATTTCTGAAGAGTTAAGCTGCAGATATGGGATTAAAGTTTTAGTGCTCTGCTGGCTGTTTTGGTTCTGTTGGCCCGGCTGGAAATGCTCTTCTTGAACGCTTGGAGCTGCAACGTGCAAAATGGATGACTTGACTTTTCTTCAAGAAAAATGCCGCTCAGTGACTTGCTTGAGGTAGTTGCAAGTGTTTGTCTTGGTTGAATTGCCAGCCTGTCTATGCATTAGTCAGCCAGCCTAATCCAGACTGAAAAACAAGGGAAGTTCTGTTGCCTTACAAAGCTGTCTTCTGTTCTTAGTGTGTAGGTATTAAATTGGGAAATAAGTGAGGTTTTTACTACTGTTCTTTTTTTTTTACTACTGGTTGTGAGGAAAGGAGGGAGACAAGTATAGTCAAAAGGCTGTCCTCAAAATGCAAAAGGCATTTAGATATAGTCATTTTTTTTAATTAAAAATAATTAATCATCAATCTGACCTGTTGTTGAATTAGAGTAAGCTAATACTGGGAGCAGAGGAGGGATTAGGTTGCTTAGGAGGTTGCATTGGCCTACTTAGGTTCTGTGTCTGATTGCAGTATTCATTATTGCACTTATAACTCAGAAGTCTGAGAGTCATCTTTCTTTGCAGAGTCATCTTTCTTTGCAGAGCAAAGGATTTCTGAGCACGTGAAAACTTTCATGATTGCATTTCACTAGAAAATGGTGTTTTTTGCCAAATATTAAAATATTGAATTAAAATATTGATGTGGTCCAACTTGACATTCCCTGAAAAGAAATCTAAGCACTCGGGACTGAAAGGACTGATCTGTTTGCTTTGCTGCCTGTTTGAAAGTGCCCTATCCTAAAGGATAGTTGAGAGGGAAGTATGGAGAGTTGTGTATAGACTTACATTCCTACCTGTTGTATGTATTCTAATACATTGGAACATCAAGGAGAGATGAGAGAGATGGAGGTTAGACTTGATGGAACTTCAGGAGATGTTTGAAGGAGCTGTCCGTGTCGGAGGAGGCAGCTTGGGAGGAGGCTTGGTGCATACGCTGCTAGATTGCCTTCACGGTCCACTAAATGGAGATCTAAGTTGCAAAAAGGATGTAAGCCTGCAGGTGGTGTCTCACAGGAGAGCTTTAAGGGCAGCGTGCTGCTGTCCTTCCCGCGTGCTGATCTCTGGAGATGAACGTGCAGCGCGTGTTCGCTCGGGGTCCGCGCGCCCGCAGCTCCTGCCGCTGCGGCCCGGGCCGGCGCAGGCCACCGGGCTGTGCTGCCGGTGCCCTCGCTCGCTTTCCCTGGCGCCACCTCTGAGGACCTCGCCTGTCCCTCGCCTCTCAGCATGATTCACTGGCGTTCAATAACCACCTGCTGGGCTCTGCTCAGCTTTCCCTTTGAAAAAACACGGCTCCTAGAAATAGGAGTTGGAAGGAAATAATACACGGGCATCGTCTTGGCTTTTGAAGCCTGTAGCATTGCCAGTCTGCTCCTACAGTGTCATTGGGACTCATGGAGGGCTTTGTGTCTTGCTTCACCCTCTGCACAAGTAACATTTCTATCTTCTGTAGCATCTCAAAGAGCGGCACGTGATGAATCCACTGCAAAAGCTTTCTAAATATAATCTTGGAAGTGAATGTATGCCAGTAAAAATATGACTGTTACTTTGCAACAGCAGGTATTTTATCTGTATCATCTACGTGCTCCTTCTGATGTTACTGTTTCTTGTGTCTCAAGCTGAATTAGACTTTATGATTGCAGCATCCTTTGAAATTAAGGGTAGCTCTTATATTGTTAGTAGCTTTTTGTAAACAGTGCAAAAATATGTGTGTGTATATATATGTGTGTGTGTATGTGCATACACAAACACACGCATATATATAAAGTCGCACATACTAAATGAACCTGTGTTTGTGTTTTCTTTCTTTCAGCAAAATGAAGCAAGGTCTCCTGCCTAGCTTGGAAGATCTTCTCTTCTACACTATTGCAGAAGGGCAAGATAAAATACCCGTTCATAAATTCATTACTGTAAGTTTACTCTCCAGAGTGTTAAAAGATTTTTTTTTTTTTCCTGTTATTTCCAAATGCAAGAATATGACAAAAATAACTTGTCTCTGAATCAAGAAAGAGAACTGCTGGGAAGAGAACTGTGCTAGTACTGTTCACTTGCACACTGAGTGTAAGAGTAAGCTTAAAAGGGTCTGTGTGTATGGTTAGGGCTAGGGAGCATTTCTGCTGGTATAGAGCATAGCTGGAGCACCACACCTATGGAAACTGATCTAAATGGCCAAAGACTCAACCAGAAGTATCAGCATGCCCTTATATTGATGCTCATGCAGTAGCAGATATCTCTTGGTAAATAAGACTGAACAATAAGAGAGCTTTATTGTAACCGTTACTTTCTTCACTTTAGTAATTATTGTTTTATTGTAATAGGCGCTCAAATCTACAGGATTACGTACATCTGATCCCAGGTTGAAAGAGTGCATGGATATGTTAAGACTGACCCTTCAAACAACTTCAGATGGTGTTATGCTGGACAAAGACCTTTTTAAAAAGTAAACTTTCTGTTAATAATGTTACTGTATAATTCTGAATGGATGTTGTATGTGTGTTATTGACTGCAATAGGGTATATAAATAAAATGGAGAGCATAGGGTATATAAATCATAGGGAAATTAGGGAGTGAAACCTTTGCTCAGTTACACTGATGCTATTTGCATATTGTTTGTTCTGTGGTTTCATGATATGTAGTGTAGCACGTCTGCAAGAGTTCTGTGTGTCAGTGCTACTTGTGTGAGTACTGGATCCCATGCCACAGCTCCGAGCGGGCTGCCAAATAAATCAATCAGTGCAGCATGAGCTGCTCAGTGTGCGCACAGAGAACTTCTCGCTGCATCATCAGCGTTTAGCTGCCTGTTCGGTGAGCTGCCTCTGTGTAATGCAAGATTTTGTATAGCATTAAGTTAGTAGCATATACGGGTTAACTCTAAAACTGAGTATACAAAGAGTAGCAAGGTGACTGAAACTTCAGCATGTGCAGAGGTGAGAGTACTTAGAGCTGTATGCATTGCTTTGGTCTGCTTCAGAAAAGATTTGTGTGCAATGTTTCACTGATGCTTCTGTTTAAGAAATGTTTGGGGTTGGCTAAACACTATAAGCACTGTCAGCTGATCTTCCAAGCACACTCACACAGTCCCTTACTTAGTTTATTTTGTGTGCCAAAGATTGTAAATATTGGGACCCAAATCTGGAAATAGACTTTTGAGACTGTTTGGGGGGCATGTATTTCTCTCTTCCCTACAGAGTAAGGGTCATAATAGCTAAAAGTAGCTTCTTTCCTGAGAAGAAGGTTTTCTTTCAGAATGGTACATTTCTATTCTGTGTTGGACAAACCTTTTTCTGAAGTGATGAAATAATGTCATTGAGTGCCAGTTCTGTGTTAGAAATATTCTGGGTGTATGGTTGTATTTGAAAAATGCTTTTTCTGTCGTGCGTTGCATTTGCACCAAGAGGGCTTGCTTGTATTGGTGGACTAGAAATTCTGTATAGGCAAGAGCTTTCTATAAAGAACCAACCAAAACCCACAGGCAGTTGCTATTTAGAGGCTAAAAGATTGGATTGTGCTCTACATCATATTTCTAGGATTTGATCCCCTGTATTAGGGGACTACAAGATTCTAAGGGAACTTGTGGAAAAGCTGCATGGTTGCTTCTTGTGTAGGAACGGTTTTGGACATTAAGACTGCAGAGGAGGTGGAAAGGTAATCCCTTTTCCCATACATTGTCCTTCATGACATTAGATGTTCTCAGCCTGCTGTTCTATATGTGTGTGTGTATACACACATATTTACTTTTAGTTAAGTAAATTATTTAGACATTTAATTAAGCTATCTGTTCTACATGGGCATTCTGTATTTGCCATTTGGAGACTCAAGGATCTCTTCTTTTTTTTTTTTTTTTTCTTTCTTATCCCTGTGTTTAAGATACTAAAATTTAATGACTGAACTGTTCAGCTGTATTTGCCTCAGGACTTTGGAGCTTCAGTTCCCAGACATAAAGTTGGTAATTCTCCTGTTGAATTTGAATCCAAAGCTGTTAAAGCAAATAAAGCAACAAGGGTAAATAACTATCAAAAGCAGAAATTTGGCTCAAACAATCAATCAATCTCAGTCCAACCTACCTGGAAAACATTCGAGGTCATGAATGTGTGTTGTGTGTCTTTATAAAATTGGTTTAACAGCTTTGTATTTGTTCTAAACGTTAAATTGCAGTTTGATTAAAGTTGCTTTGTTGTGAAGATTTTGGCTTTTCAATGCTCTGCATTTTAAGCCGCAGAAATATCTGCGTGTTACAGGAGAAATTACTTGGATTTTTCATCTTTTCTCTCCAGACTTGCTGCCGTTGAAATTCGTGATGCACATGTTTCAGAGGAAGAATTTGAAAAATGTATTGAATCAATTGCTTATAATGATGTGTCTACATAATACATAGTGCTGGGAGCATGATATCTCACTGAGAAAAACTTCCTTGGTGAATGCTGAACAGCTTCCAGTTAGTTTGTTATGGGTTTTAAGGGTTTTATTTTCATTTATTTTCTTTCTTACTGCTACCCTATGTAGCTATGGTACTGTATTTAAATCTAATTAGTGTTAGATAATATGTAATCTTCCAAATTTGTTTGATTATATACTATATCGTCCTTGTGAAGTGTGTGCATCTTACAACATATCCTAGTATTTAGATTTGTATTCATAACATTTTATCTGCTCTGTTTGAAAATTTCTCATCTCATTAAAGAGCCCTCCCACGTTCCCATAGCTTTTTCTTCAACTCATAGCACTTTGCTGACTGGGGAAAAGCTAACTGGACTTGCGAAAGGCACCTTTTCGTAGCAAAACTGGAAAAAACTGTGAGGTGTTCGGAACAGATATATTTTGCAAGCTTGAAAACCCTATTGAGCGCTGTGCGAGTTTCAGTTTGTTCCTGTTTCGGAATAGCCCACGAGGCTGGGTGGATTGAGCCGTTGTCACAAGGCACTGCCTGTCCCACTTCACTGACCTTGAATTGTGGTCCTGCTGGCCAAATCTCCTCTGATCTGCTGGGAGGAAGCAGCAATCTGGATATGTTCCATTTTAGGCATAAACCTGACAATCTGTTAGCAGATCTCAGACCGGCTTATGTGTTTCCTGGGGAACTGTTTTGTTACTCTCTAACCCTAGATAGCAAATCCTACAGACTTTCATTTTAGGTATACGTAACCTAGCTATTAATAAAGTATCCTATTAGTTTGATTAAATAGCTTTTGTGCCTGAAGATGTAGAAGGGTCTTTAGCTATATATATGTTCTAATATTAATCTTATTTGTCAAAAGCTGTCAGTCTTGCATTTACTTTCTCTAAAATATCTAAATATCTTAAAAATTTGTACAATACTACTCTTACTAGTTGAAAATGAAGTTTTGCATTTCTTACTGTAATACTGTAAGCATATAGTATAACTTTAAACAGAAAGACTTATCAGCTCTCCTTCTGTATAGATAGCCTGACAACTCCCAGGGAACTAAACTCCTAGACAACTCTAGGAGTTTAGAGTAAGATTCGTGTTTATTTTTTAAGCAGATGAGAGCAATAATCAGGAATCTTAGCTGGAGCTCTGAATAGGACAAAATATCTTGAGATAAACACAGCAAGTTGTAGGCTGAAGGAACAGGATGGTTCCAGCTCCGTGCTAGAGGCTGAAGATGCCGTTTGCATCGTCGCCTCTTTGTCTTCTATTAGATGGTTGGTTGTGTGAAGAGCTTTTGGTCGTCAGAGGCGCGATGTTTTGTGAACTTGATGGAGTTGTTTCGTCCATCTCAAGGATGAAGTAAGGAAACACGTTACAAATGTTGCAGAGAACAGGCAGCGCTTGCTTTGATCTTTCTTTAAGCTCTGATCTTTCATGGAGTATTCATGAATATTCACACAAAGTCACCCACAAATCCCTGTTCTCCATGCTTAGCCAGCATAGCAGTTTGGGGAGCGAGCACCGATCTGTGGCCTCTTAATCGAGTTGTTGAAGTGAGATGTTAGCTTGGCTTGGAGCGATCGGTGCGTAAATGTGCCCCGGTGCTTCCGAGTTGCCGTGTGGTGCGTGCAGACGACTGAAGAACCACAGACTCACAAGAATCACAGACTCACAAATCACAAGAATCACAGACTCGCAAATGGTCGAGGCTGGAAGGGCCTCCAGAGATCATCTAGTCCAACCCTCCGCTCCAGCAGGGACACGCAGAGCGCGTAAGGAGGAGAGGATTCAAGGGGAAGTTGGTTCTGTCTGCTTGGTAACATTCAGGCCGCTTTCTTTTGAACTACTAGTGACTTTTAATAATAGGAGAATGCATTCTGCTCTGTAGTACGAGCCTAGACAAGTTGAATTTGTCTAAATCAGCAATAGGCTGGTGCTTTCTTCAGTGCTGCCAGGAGGCCCAGGGTCGGGAAGCGGCGCTGCCCCGCTCGAATGCTCATGTTCCCGTGGGGAGCCACGGCCCTGCCCCGCGGCAAGGACAGCTCTCGCCCAGCTTGGGCCCTCTGTTTCGCCTAGATAAGTCCTTTCCTTCTCAACTCATCACTTGTTTTCAGTGTGCCCAATGGGCTCATGTTTTAAGGGTGCGGACAAAACTGTAGTTGTATTTTGGGGTAAAATACAACAAAGATCACTTAGTTGGCGACAGTTTGAAGAGATGGGCCTGTGGTGCCAACTGTTGCCTTAGATTCCTAAGATTAGGAATTCTTATGGAGTCCTGCTTTTTTCTTAGCTCTCCTATCCTAAAAGGCTATGTACATTTTATTTTGGTTTTTATTTTGGTTTTTATTTTGGTTTTTATTTTGGTTTTTATTTTGGTTTTTATTTTGGTTTTTATTTTGGTTTTTATTTTGG